GGAGGGGGAGGCGGGATCTGGGAGGAGAGGTAACGCATAGGAGGGGGGAGGCGGGATCTGGGAGGAGAAGTAACGCGTGGGAGGGGGGGCGGGATCTAGGAAGAGAAGTAACGCTAGTAATGCGTGGGAGGGGGAGGAGGGATCTGGGAGAAGAAGTAACGCGTGTGAGAGTGGGCACCAATGGCAACCAACGACCATCGTCAATGCAGGTTCACCACACTAGACGGGTGACACATGCGTTCATCAAACCTAAATGGGTTAATGCAGGTTCACCATGCTAAACGGTTGACACCTACATTTATCAACCTAGACGGGTTAATGCAGGTTCACCATGCTAGACGGGTGGCACCTGGGTTCATCAACCTAGATAGGTTAATGTACTAGGACATAGGAAGCCTGCCTAAGTATCACTAACCCCAAATGGGTATGGGCGCATCTGATCAAACAATGCAAACTTTTGTTACCATGTGGTTAATTGACACGATCGCCAATTGGACCCACATGCATATGTGTGTGCCACGGGGTATAACATCCTAAGTCACCACTTTGCCTCCACCCTTATTTTGTTGATTGTGTTGCACCTTTATCTCCATGTGATGGTAGGCCATGGAGCGAGACAACACCGCAAACGCCAACTCAATGTTCGGGTAAACAACATTGTGCATTGGTTGAGGGTACCACTATGATAGTGCAAGGCAATGGTAGTGCTACCAGTTGCAAGTGGGGCCAAAAGTACATGAGCGACGATGAAGGGGTACTGGAATCGTCATATCAAACAGTGGCAGAACATGAGATGCGGTATGAAGCCTTGTATGATAGGAAGATGGTGTGTTGATGATTAATGCACCGGCGGTCTTAAGATCCATTGAAGGTCAAAGATAATAGAGGGTGGCACATGAAGGGATCTCGATAGCGACAAAAACGACTTAGAGATTTTACCCAGGGTTCAAGCCACTCGAATGGGTAAAAGACAGACAACATGCTTGTTGTATTGTATTGATCAATGAGACGATTACAATAGCATAGGTCTAATATGCATAAAGCATGTTGCTCCCAAAGTTAAATGATCCTCAATGCAGGGTCGTCTACACCTTATATGAGTTGATGTGTGCTGGTAATTAGGTAGCTACCTTTGCACCGGGGGTACGATACCACCAGGTGATCCCACTATTACAGGGAATATATCTCCCGTAACACTTGAATCCAAAATTTAGCGCACATGTTATCCAAAATTTAGCGCACATGTTCTTATCCATTATGAGTGCCTACTCAGTCACACAAGGTGCAGAACTTAGGAGCCCCTGGACACTCCTCAGTTGAGTATAGGGCATCTTCCTCCGACTAGGTATCTCACCTACATGGTGCTAGGGGAAGAGGGGGAGGAAAGACACGTGGATACTTAAAAACTAGGATGAATGGCTCAATGTTGAAACAACATCGACATAATGCTAGTGAAAAAATCGATCCCTTATCCAACCATTGACGCACGAGACAAATAGGTACCTCGTCATTTAGATTTTAGAGTACATAATGTTGACATCATAGAAAACTACTTATCATCCATAGTACTCGCCACATATTGTCAATCTTGTGAAAATGCAAACTAATAAATACATGCAATGTGCATTATTTTTTACCCATTTCATTCAATTTTAATCTCGACTTACACCATCTGCTTTGTACTACCGAAGTGTACTATGGTTTGGAGAGGCTCTCGCCCTTGGAGCTAGGACAGAAGAAACTATTATTCCAATTATTTCTTGCTTTATGTCTTGCATGAGTTCCTCGTTATATAAGGGTCTAAATAAAATAAAATAATGTAGATATTTATTCTTAAGAACCAAGTTAAAAGATATCTTCCTAATTTGAGGGATAGACTACCTAACATGGAGATTGGGGATCTCATCTCATGTTTGGGAGATGTGACTATAGCGCCTCCTCCTTAGCATGCAACTTGTCTTCGAGCTGCTAGGGGCGCTAATGATTGTAGCCCAAAGAAACCCCAAATTCCATACATGGCATGACATCACTGCTCATTGATGTAGGGTAGAACCCTAGTGGCCCGATCTTTCACGAAAGGAGCGGATCCTACGATGAACACGAAGAACACGAGGGGGAAAACGAGGAGAATCACGAGGGGAAACATGAGAGAAACACTAAAACCAACAAGAACGATCACACATGTGCTAGATCCTCGAAACACAAAGAGAGATACAAGATCCACGATCAACAAGGGACGATACAAAGGGTAACCGGTTCTTCTCCGTGAGGAGGTCTTGATGTCTTCTCCGTGAGGAGGTCTTGAATCCAAGGTGGATCTTCTCCGTAGAGGGGCCGCGGTCTCTCTCGTGGAGTAGATCCGATATGGATGAGCGAAGCTCTATCTCTCAAATGAGCTATCACAACGCTAACCCTAAAACGTAGGTGGAGGGGGAGTATATATAGTCTAAGGGGCGAAGGGGTACATAAGCCTCGGCCCAGATGCACTGCACGCAGGCAGGGAAGGCCGGACGTCCGGGCGTCGGGCCGGATGTCCGGGCGCTCGCGGAGGGCCGAATGTCTGGGCTGGAGGGGCCGGATGTTCGGGCTGGCGGGGTTGGTCTTGTTGCTCTCGGGTTCGGCGGTGTCCGGATTTCCGGGGCCGAGGCCGGATGTCCGGGACTTGGCGAGGCGCCGAATGTCCGGGGCTGGCGCCGGATGTCCGGCTGCTAATGTTGTTGGCCGTCTGTTGGGGCAGTGCGTCTGCCCAGGCGTCGGATGTCCGGCCGTTGTAGCTTCAGCAGCTCCGTCTTCTTCCGTCGTCGCTTCCAGGCTTCCCTCACGGATGGTGTAGTTGTTCCTTGGCACTTGCACTCCTCCTCGTCATCCGTGAAGCTCCGACAATACCTATGCATGCACACGGGAGAAGTGTCAAGTAGTATACCATCCTCGAAGGGGTCAAGTGAGCACATGTAAAGGAGATGATTCACCTTTGAGTATGTGAAGTAGATGTCGCATGTGTCACTCGCCGAACGGACTCTTGACATGGTGATGTCCATAGGATGCTCCACATCATCTCCCCTCCCTTGGGAAAGATCCGACCTCGGATCAAAAACCAAATCACCATGGGAAAGAGACGGCTTCGCCGTGTAGAAGTGGACGTTCACCAAGTACTTGTCATCTTGAAGCTCGAAATGGACACTCTCCAATGTCGCACCGTCTTGTGATTCCTTCAAAAGGAGTAAGGACAACAAACACTTGGAAAAACAAATGTGGTTAGCGTTAGTGCAAAACCAAGAATTCGATAGGTGAGTCACCAAACAAGTGTCGTCATCATGCAAAGCATATAGTGTGTGATACGTCTCCAACGTATCTATAATTTTTGATTGCTCCATGCTATATTATCTACTGTTTTGAACATTATTGGGCTTTATTATCCACTTTTATATTATTTTTTGGGACTAACCTATTAACCGGAGGCCCAGCCCATAATTGTTGTTTTTTGCTAGTTTTAGGGTTTCGAAGAAAAGGAATATCAAACGCAGTCCAAACGGAATGAAACCTTCGGGAACGTGATTTTCTCATCGAATACAACTCAGGAGACTTGGACCCTACATCAAGACACGTAACAGGAGG